TTTAATGGAGAAGAAAGGAAGGAAGGAAGGAAGGAAGGGAGGGAGGGAGGGAGGAAGGAAGGAAGGAAGGAAGGAAGGAAGAAAGAAAGAAAGAAAGAAAGAAAGAAAGAAAGAAAGAAAGAAAGAACACAGCTTGCTTGCACAAAATTGTTTTTCAGAAATGAGCACTTTTGGATTTAGGATAGAGGCACTGGTTCTGCTACATAATTTTATATCTTGGACTTAATTACGGTTTTGCTGTGGGGGAAAGATACAGCCTTCAGTTATGTACAGAACAATTTTCCCCTGTCTCCACCAATCCATGCCATATGTATATTTTCATATTATTATTTCTTTTTATGGGAAGAGGGTATGCTGTTTGTCAATTCTGATGCTGTTTTACAAAGCTTCTAGGAATCTTTTTTGAGTAGCTGAGAACAGACAGCAAAGTTCCCAAACAGGCCAGGAGCACAATCAATCATTTTATAACCACTTCATTAAAATCTATTCTGCAAGCGTGGACACATCCACATTCCCATAGAAAATGCACATACCCAAACTATAGAAAAGAAGACAGAAAGAGATAAAGAGAAAATGCCCTCATTCTCTTACTGGCCAAGTGGATGAAGGGGAATTGAAAGATTTCAAAGAATTAATTGTGGGAGAATCTCAGCTTTTCCAGCACCGTGCTTGCATCTTTTATAACCTACACAGGGCATGGTATCTGTGCTGATTCTCACAATAGGATCTTACTTTGTTTGGGCTTCAGACCTTCCCCCCCCTTTTTTGATGTATCCATTTTCTTCTCCAGGAAATAAAGCCCTTGTTTACTAGTATCTGTAATTAAATCACGAAAGAGAGGTGTTGAGTTTGTTTGCATTTATCAGTTCTTAATGGACCAGGTTGATGTTTTAATCTGTATTCTTCAGCTTTCTTTCCTCCTTACCGCTTTCCCCATTTTTTTCCTAGTCAGCAAGTAATGGGAGGATATACTTAGAGCATGGTAGGATTCAGAGAGAATATAACAGAAGGATACATATAGAGTATGCATTACTCTAGAGACTTTATTGAACACACACACACCCAAACACATAGAATACAAATCATGCACAGTATTGCATGTCCAGGTGGTATGGTATATTACTCCTGAGCCTGAACAATTTCACATTTTAAACTCAGTTAAATCATAGCACTATGAAGATTGTAAAAATAAAACAAAATTTTGCTTTTTGCCTTATGCTTTATACCCATTTGCTCGAGGGGGAAAGCCCCTTTTAAAGTAATAATTACTAGATAGGAACATGCAATCACTTTTATAAGCAAGAAAATGTTTATCAAAATATAAAAGTATTCAAAAATATTCTCTTGACTCCTGGGGTGGGTAGATCTGTTGAGTCTTGGACTGAAGTCCAATTTGCATAGTCCAGAAGTGCCTGAGTATCAACCAGGGCTCAGTGATAAATCTCTAGAAACTTAAACCTGTATTCAGTAGTAGCAGAGATAAGGGCTTGGCCTAAATAAGTTGCTTTTATTGCCAGAGCAATAAAATAACAGTAACAAAACTACTACAGAATGAAGCAGAATCAAGTTCCTTATCTATAAAACCCTGAGGGTTTAAAGCAGAGGCCTTTTCAGCTCATCAGCTTCTTCATGATGTTTAAGACTGACCCCAAATATTTTATATGAAAATAATGTAAAAGATATAGTACAAATAGTAATTGATTATTTGAATAGTTAAGTGGCTAGTGGGTAAAGGTGATGGATGAAATTGCCTTCAGCAGAGAAAGATGTTTAGTGGCCAAGACTAACAATCTGTGACTCTGCAGTCATATAGTATCATAACTGAGCAAGTTATTTAACTTCTCATCAATAGATTAACACAATCTAATCATACTTCGCATACTGTTAATACACATAACTAATGAGAAAGCATGAAATTTTGACTCTGTAAAATCAATGCTCATTTTTTTTGTGGTTTTTAATGTATGTAAACTTTGCTCTTCTATTTTTTTTCCCTTATAAACAGTTACCACAAAAATGTGAACTGCCTAGGGAAGCTTCAACCTGTAAATCTGTATATTGCTAACCTAAAACAAAGCAAGTGAATATCTTGGATCTACCAAGAAACCACACTGCGGTCTTAAAATTTGCCACTTGTTGCAATAATCCTATATTTTTTGCCCCTCAAAAATATTCTCACCAATACTGAGTTCTTTGCTGCACCCTTCAGTCTGTTGACTATATATTCAACAGAACTCACAGGGAAATCGAAAATCATACCTTTCTAGGATCTCTACTGGTTTAATAATGAAACTCCCTTGTATATCAGATGATCTTACTCTGCTCAAATCTCAGCACTGGAATTGGACACAGTTGTTGAAAATAAATCCATTTTTACATTTACAGGCAAAAATGTTTTATTACTACTGTGAATGATAAATAGCTGTGATGTTCTGCAGCTGCTGAAGTATGTGAATCACTGTCAAAGATTAAACTTAGATCTCAGGCTGAGTAGGATCAGAAGGGATTAGTAGTATTTGAAATATGGAATTATGTCATAATTGGGTAAACACAAAAACATACAAAAAACTTTCTTCTGCAAACATTATCTGCATTACAATATCTGGAATAAACAACTAAAAAATCTTCTAGAAAAATACTGAATTACAGCAGTATAACTTTATAGTTATCACTACAATGAAGATGTACCTTTTTTTATCTCTAATGAAATACACATTTGGCATTTATACTAAATTTAAAGAGAGGAATTCTGGACTAATATAATCCTGTGTGTACAATAACACTAAGTACTGTAATGATCAAAATATTGTAATGTGAAGCTACCTTTCGATTAATCTTTATACATTTTTCTTGACATGCATTTAGCATGGAAAACACTATAAGGTGCACAAAACTCTCAGCAATGCAAATAATCAAATAATGTATCATCTGGGCACTAATCTTGAGTCTGAAATTAAAGTTCTTGGTAGAGAAATTGTTATTCCATCTTAGAACTATGCTATACTTGTATTATTTAGAACTGAAGGATATTTCAGAGAACACCTAGTGTTGAGTTATTCTCAACATAGGATATAATTACATCAACCCTAAAAACAGTAATTTTCAGTATGAAAAAAGTTGTATTGGCATACAGAAGAGCAGAAACAAAGCACTTTTCTGCAGCTCTTTAAAGCACTCATGTCTTTGAAGTATATTTTTTAATCAAATCCAAAATGTTGCACAGTTGAAATAACCTATTTAAATACTTACAGTTTATGACACAGTGTAAGGTATTGCTATTATGGTTGGTCTCACAATATCCTATCACAGGCATGGCCCAGATATTGATGGTTTTGATGTTTTTCCACTGTTCAGATTTCTCTTTAGCCATTTTCTAACTCTTTGGATGTAACCCAAAGTTGGATTAAACACATTTTTAACTTGTTCATGCTTGTTGCTCTTTATTATTATGGTTCATTGGACAGTCAGCCATATGTTTAGACTGGATTTGGCATTTCTGTCTACTTATCAAGCCCTTTCCAAGGACCTGAGGTAGGCAATATTCATTCATTCATTCATTCAATTTCTATAACCACCCAATTCAACCAAGTAACTCTGGGTTACAATTTTAAAATTATAAAACAATTTAAAAACATTAAAAGGGTTCACAAAATAAATAAGTACAAAGAGCAGCTATGATGATTAACCAGCTAATAATAAAGCCAAGTAACAGGGCCCTCAATGCCACATTTTTAATATGTCAATTGTGGCAGTTGTGATTTATGGAAGTTGAACTCCCAACATTTCTGAAGATCATCAGATTGGGGACATCTGCTCTAGAGAAATCATATCTGCATATAAGTAGCTGCTGAACTCAATAGACTGGATGGTGATGTACATAAATGTAAATACAGCAAGGTGATTCACTACTTTTTTTATTAAAGAATTTTGCCAAATGTGTTTTTTATCCCGTTTTGACAATTAAACGCTAAAGTCACAAAATAAATCACATGGTGGTTTACTGCAACCAGAAGAGAAATGTTCCAGACAGGACTTTATATTATACAGAATTCATATATTCTGTAAGCCAAGAATTTTGATTGTGTTTTATGTAACAAGCTTTGTGGCCTGTGCTTCATTTGCAAATCTGAGCCATAATAGATTGTACAATTCAAACACTGCACAAAATCAAAATCAAATTAATCACATTACGGTATATGTGAATCCAGCCTGAAACGTAATTGGTAGCAAGAGCATCCATGCAGGAGGGGAAGGGGGGGCAAATGACATAATCAAGCAAATGATGTGATGTATCCTATCTACTTGTGTTAGATGCCATGATGCAAATGCATAATTGTATCATTTTTATGACATCACAATGTCTTCTAACAGATACCTAAAATTGCTATATGGATTCTATTTAAGCAGTAATACAATAGGACCTAAAGGTTAGACCCAGGCCAGGTTTATAGATTTTGCTAAACCGTTTATTTTTATATACAAACTAGCTACCACGCTTTGCAAAGGATGGTTTACAACACAGCACATGAACCCAGCGAACTGCAACCTATTCAATAACCCAACAGTAACCGAGCCACGTCTTCGGGAATCTATGAACTAAGAGACGAGGCCACCGTCCGAGGCAAAACGCTCCCATGAGCTCCAAAAGGGCCGGCCTTCGAGGGAAGCCAGTCCCAGGAAGAGACAGGACGGGAACCGGCTTGCTTTCTGCTCCAGCAGCGGCAGTGCCGTAACTCGGTCACTAAGTGGCGCCAGATTTCGACGCTTCACGCCGAGCTCGTCGGAAACTCGCGCTCTCTCTCGCTCTCGCACATACACACACACACAAACACACACACAACCCAAACCCAACACTACGACAAGCACGCACAAAGCAGCTGGGCGAAGCTTTACAGCGGGCTTCCCGGTGTTTTTACTCCGAGCCAAGCCGGAGAGAGAGGGGAAGGGAGGGGGGGGGGGAGCAACTCGAGGCGGACGGAAAGAGCGACGCAGCTCCCGACAGCGAAGCATCTCGGCTGAAGGTGAGTAGAACTAGAGCATCCCGGCTGGAAAACTTGCAGGTGGCTTCACTGGCGGAGGGACATCGCGCGCCCGCCCGCCTCGGTTTTGATCACGTTCTCCCCGGCGGAGGGGCGGCTGCTGCGAGCTTTTGGCGGGGAACACAGGGCGGGATTGGGAGGAGAAAGAAATCCCCACCTGGCCGCCTCAAACTTTGCCGAGAATCCAACCGCTGGTGGCCTCTCTGCGACTGCTGCTTGTTGTGTTTGGCAGTTCGGTTCCAATCGCTCGGTGGCCCTCGGCGCTCTGCACAACGGGGAAGCTGGTGTGAGAGGCAGCTCCGTTCCCCACCGTACCTGGCTAGCCCACGTTGTCCCTCCTATTGTTACTCTCCCCGCTGGGTTTTTGAACTCTTGTTTGTTTGGGGTTTGTTTTTTTTTTTAAAGTGGCTGACCGAGCCGGGGGAGGGAGGGATATTCGTCTTCCCTTCTCCGCATCCTTCCCACTCTTCCTTTCTTCCTCTTTGGCCAGATGTACAGGATATTAGCCGTAGCGCTTTGGTGTTTTCTGCAAGCAGAGGGCAGGCATCCAGAGATCACCCTTCGTAGCAGCAACAATGGCAATTTTTTGGACAATGACAAATGGCTGAGCACCGTTTCCCAATACGACAAAGATAAATACTGGAACAAATTCAGAGATGTAAGTTGAATTCCTATGCATGTGGGTACAGTATGTGTATTGCTCAAAAAAGGTATCCTGGGATTTTTTTCTCTGCAAGGGACTCTTCAGTGGACAGGACATGGCTACATCTGTTGTGGCTGCTACTGTAGTGTTGGAAGGAGGTCCTTTAAAAATCCCCTGGGTTTTATTTATTTATTTACTCTGTGTGTGTGTGTGTGCGTGTGCGTGCGTGCGTGCACGTGTGCGCGTGTGCACACTTGTGCATGTACACACATGCGTGCTTTGGTATGCTTTCAGATAAGTGGTTAGTTTTCTTGGTCTTCCTTTTTCATTTAAGACTTCCAGGAACTTTGCTGGTTTGCAAAATTGATCACTGTGAAATCCTGACAGTTACATACAGAACTATTTATTAACCGAACCCCCCATCTTGGTGAAGCTTTCTATTGCTGTGGGTGGTAGGGAGATCAGAAGCATGCTGTTCTGAGCAGTTGTGTGAAAGGGTTTGTATTTTTTCTTTTCTTTTTTTCAAATTAGATATGATCATAATTCAGGGACACTTTCAGATGCATCTTTATAGGTTATGTTGTGACACAGCATATTGTTTTGTGGCAGGGCAGCAAAAGATATTCTAAGTGAAACTTTGGGAAAACTGAAGATATTTGTGTTATTCATCAGCCAGGGAGGAGAATGAAATGGGACGGGTTTTGTTTGTGTTGACATCAGTTAACAACAGTTTGATCTTAACCACTTGTAATTCCTTAGAAGAGTCAAGTCCATAATATTATGTAACTACTATAGGTGAGATGGTTTATCAGATGAATCACAGGATAGTAGTTCAGCTAACTTGTTCACCACAGAGTGTTCTGACAACAATAAGGATTGCATAGGATTGCAATAGTTAGGTATTCCACTTATCTGTATCATATAAGATCTTGTGCAGTGGCACAGTCAAAATGTTAAAATGGAGTCAACTTTTCTAGTTCCACTTTTTAAAGTCTGTAAATTACCATATTATTTTCCAATTGAATTGAGCTATAATTCAATCTCCCTTGGTCATATTTTTTCAGGTTTGGTACATATTAAATACATGATGAATTTCAGGATGTATTAGGGATAAAAGTATCAAGTGCAGTCTATAAAGTCAGAATAAGTGCTCTTATTGTAAAGTCCATGAAGTATAAATTGCAGCCTTAATCTTTGAGCAAAACTGAATTTAGAAATACTATAGAAAGTGATTTGTCAAAGATGTCCATCTTTGAAATAATTTCATTAAGTTGAAACAAACAATCAGAAATGTTACTTTTGAAAGTTACAAAAGAGCCATTGATCAAATCTCATATAAAAAATTTCAGTGATACAATTCTGTTTAGTCATAAGTAAATAAAATAATCTGGAAAACAAATATAGACAGAAAGTCAACAAGAAGTCAACCTATTTCAGGGGTAGATTCAATATACTTCAATCTTTTTAAGCTTTTATCAGAATGCAGACATGCTGAAATAAATATGGGGAAGGTGCAAATAAAACTTTCCACGACTATATTATTTTTAGTAATCAATTCATAATTTCTCTTTTCATGAAGGCTTATCTGTAGCCTAAACAACAACTCTTCGGTTTTCTTCTTCTTTGCAAATCCTTCTGTATTTTTCCAGTTCTAGACCAAAAAGTAAACCTGCATGAGGTTAATTGGTGAAATAAAATTCTGAGATTGTTTCATAAGCCTGCTTTGCCATCTGTGTAAACCAACCAGACACTATAAATTTGGGAGAGAGGCTTCCAGATTGCAGTGGCATAGATTGCCTGTCTGAAATGGTACCAAGGAAAGATGCTTTTTCAAAGCACATTTAAAAATGGGTGTCATATAAGCCACTCTATTTCTTTCAGTAAAACATTCTGCACAGTTTATGGAAAACAATGCACTATTATTCATATGAAGAATATGCTAATATGCTGAACAGTGCTTACTGTTTGCCGTAGTCTCAACTGCTTCTTCTATAATGGACAGCACACTGGCAAGGCTGCTATTATTTTTCTTGTGGTTGCAGAAGCAATTTTTCTTTTGGGGTTGGAAAGAATAGCAGAGACATCATCTCCTGAAAAATGTAATGACTTCTGGCCAGTTAAAATGAACAATAGTTTGAGAAACCCCAACTGATTTCACTGGGGCTTATGTACCAAATATTCTTACAGCATGGATCCCATTGTTAAATGACATTTTACCTCAACTGTAGAATGACATGGAAAATTTGAGCTTAGACATGTTCTTATGAATACAAGTATTCCTTGACTTACAATAATTCATTTAGTGTCTGTTCAAAGTTATAACTGCACTGTAAAAAGTGACTTACAACTCAGTCCTCACACTTATGACTGCTGTAGCATCCTCACAGTCATGTGATCAAAATTTGGACACTTGGAAAGGGGCATCCAGCATCTTGGGGTCATGTGATTGCCATTTGCAACTTTCCTAGCTAGCTTCTGACAAGCAAAGTCAGTGGGGGAAGCTGGATTCATTTAATGACTATTTGATTCACTTAACTACAGTGTTTTGCTTAACAATCATGGCAAAAAAAGATGTAAAATTGGACATGACTCACTTAATAATTGCTTTGCTTAATAGCGGAAATTCTGGTCCCAGTTGTGTCAGTAAGTTGAGGACTACCTGTATTCTTATTTGAATATGAAACATGTCAAAGATACAAAGTAAACCAAGATGGGAGCAGTCCCTTTTGTTTTAGGAGTAACAGAATGTTATTGTCAGCCCTTTGAGGTAAAGGATATATGGCCTCTAAGTCTCTTGGAAAATACTTGAGTATGGTTGAGGTGCTGTAACAGAATGTTGAAAGCCTGTCAAAGCTACTCTCTGTTTCAATTTTGCACCTAATCCAATCAAGATAGAGTTGTTTGGAATTTGTTTCTCATGCTTTCTACTTTCCATCACACTTGTGTGTTTTCACTTAGTCATGTGAATCATCATCGATATTAAAAGTTAAAATCTCATTAAGTGAAATTCACCCCTGGTGACCACCTGAACAAGTGTAGTTTTCCATTGCTTTCAGAATATTTTTTTGATCTCCCAGATTAGTTCTTCTCCCTTGGATTTCACAATGTTCTGCTCTCCAATTGTTAAGTAGATCTGATTTTGCTTAGCTTTTTTTGAAGTAAGGTAGTGCCAAAAGACAGGGAAACAACCTTTCTCTGGTCTCAGTGGAATGTGGCTTCCTGTTGGAAGTAACCCTTACATAGCTATTCCAATATCTGTACAATGCTGTAGCCTTTTGCTGTGACTTTCCTGTGTCTTAGTGAAAATAGTTTTAAGAGTTTAGATCTCTGGAATGAGTTCCAATAATCCAGCTTTTTTATAAGTTGAAATATTTATAATGCCAAACAAAGGGAAAATACTTTGGCTTTTGGTGAACTGTCAAATAAAATGTGCAAGTTCATCCTTTACATGGAAGAGATAAGCCTTTAAAGATGGATAGAGGTAAATGGAAAATTACATCTTGACACTGAAATCCTGAGCCAGCGGTCAAAATACTCTGTTGGAAAAATTCTAAAACAAAATGAAAAGCATATTGCTAAAAGCCTGTATTTCATCCAGAACCATCCACCGCTGAACGAAAAGGGGGCTGCAGTGTCCAACCCATATACAAAAGGGCTTTGATTCATGGTAGGGTCCTCCATTTACCACTGCACCCCATTGCAGATATTTTTGCTTTTGGTATGTGGAAGTCCACAGGCCAATCTGGATCTCGCTTCTCATGTGCTGCAGTTACTTGTAGAAGGGAAGGTGGAGCTTTATTTAGTATCCCAAATTTAGCAACAAGCTGCCTCAACACAGCCATTGTTTCTATCCCATGAAACCTCAGAAGTACCCCACCAGTGTCCTTATTGTTGCCATTTTTGCAGTTATCAATGCTCCCCGTAAATAGATCAATGTTCTCTCTTGAACAAAGGAAATCTACAAAGCCAGTTTACAGCCAGTCCTCAGCATTGCCTTGCTGCATTTGTTTTCATAGTGAGGGAGGAAAAAATAATCGCTGATCGATCCAATTTAAAGAAACATGGTGAAATAGGGAAACAGGCAATTTAACTTTTGCAAAGAGGAAAGTGAACTGCTCAGAATAAAAATGACTGGGATATAGCGGCATGCACTCTTTTTATTTAATAAACTTATGCCATCTAGTTCCTAACTCACCTTGACTTTAGCTGGACTGGAGAAGAATCAAGTAGAATGAAGACATGAGTTTTTGACTACGAGAATCTACATCCTGCACAGTCCAGCCACAATCTCTGAAGGAAATGGGTGGCTTAGAAATAGGAAATATAAATAAGTTTTTGTAGGGATGTATTTATCTCCAACTTTCTTCTGAGAAGTCAGTATACTGTTCATAGGATTCCCCCCTTTCTTTTCTTTTTCTTAAAAGAGACATGTTGAGTAATTGGGCTGAGAGAAAGTAGCTGACCCAAAGGCACTCAGTGAGTTTTATAATCAAAGGTCGATTTGAACTCTTTAATGCCATAAACACCCTTCCACACTGGTCTCTGTACTTGAAGCCTATTTTCTGTGTCACAGCAGAGTCAAAAGGTAATCAGCTGAACTGGAAAGCTCCAAGTGCTGTAGAAAAATAGCTGCACAAGTGTTTTCCACTAGAAGAAGGAGCTCATGAAGCCATCATAAAAACCTCTAAAAACAGAGAATAGTGCTTTTATTCAACACAATTTGATGATATGTTTTGTAAAAACAGAAATGCTCCTTCCATCTGTGTGGCTTGGGTAATCCAGAAGAGAGAATTTGCACTATGGATCAAAGGGAAGAGAAGCTTTGATCTGTTCCTTCTGCAAGTCCTCTTCCTCCCTCCCCCTTGCTAGGAAAAAAAATCTGGTATATCAACTAGAACAACTAGATACTATAGTATTTGAGGTTAAAAGAAGAGAGAATTGGCTAAGATGGTTTTCCATCTCTTATAAACCAAAATATCCGAAGCAGAATTGAAGAGAATACTTCAACCAGCAGA